AAAAATGAGAAGTTAAAGAGATAAGTAATTTCTTGAGAGAAGCAATTTCTTCGCCAGTTCGTGATGCAATTCCTACAGACAAGAGAACACCCGAGTTCATTGGAGTATTGAATGACTTAATGAAATTTCGTCTTCCTGACTTCTCGTTTAACAAAGATAAGGGGAGATATATAAGCACACAGAAAACATGTTTACCCAGATTTTTTATCTCCAAAAAGAAACTTGCATACGAGCCCATGAATATTCAAGTGTTTGTAGGTCTTTATCAATCACAACGTCAAGTGGCTGTGATGTGTCTTCCCATGTCGAATACTAATGTCACAAAGATCTGGAAAGAAGTAACACAGCTCCTTCGATCTGACGGTGACTCAAACGTACTTCGATTCTATGGTTGTGAGAATGATGATCATACCGTATACTTGTGCATGGAATCTTGGCAATGGAGCTTAAAGGATTTAGTAAAAGGATTGTGGAGTCTAGCGGAGAAGGCTTTATTGGAGAAAGTTAAAGTGGTGGACCGGTTATCACCTCTTGTGGTAGTTTTAATCAGGTTAGAATTCTATTCACAATTTGTGTTTTGATGAAGATAAGTACATTTTAAAGTTACATTCTTATTATGTTTGTGCAGGGATTTTTTTAATCCGGTGAGGAGGAGTCAACGGAGTGTTCGATGGCGACGGAAAAGACAGAGACAAAGAGAAGATGAAAGGGTTTCGATACTTTCGATGATGTCTGATTTTTTAAAATCTTTCGTTTACATTATAAAGATATTTCTTTATAAATCATTAGATTATGTGGTAGAACTCTGTGTAAAGCCAAAACTCAAAAATGCAAAAATTGTCACTATGTGACTTCGTACCCATTAACAAAGGGACTGAGTATCACATACTGAAACCAATTACACTAAAGATCATTTATTGTTTATTGTACAAATAAATTGATATTAATAACAATAAAACGTAATCTTTAAAACATATTTTGTAAATTGTCGATTAAGAAAACTGAATATTTAGATCCGACATTTAGGAAATTTAATAACTAAATTGGCAGAAAGCATATTCTACACTACTCGGTATTGTAAAATATTTTTTTACGAATATTATTAACGAGTATCTTATAAACGAGTATTAAGCCGAGTAACGAACCAAGTAGTAAAAAAAAATTATTGATTTGATACTTGGTCTGGACTTGCAAGTAATGTAATATGCTGATTTTTTATTTGACTTGACCGGGATAAATATTTGTTTTTTTTAAGCCGATTGCGAGGCGAGTAGCGAGTACAAACCGAGTGACGAGTATTTATGTTCAACCCTAGAAGACAGAACAATAAGAACGAAGACTGATCCACGTGTTAGAATCCTAATCGCTCTCATAAACTCATCAAATATATCAAGAACCGTTTATTTTTTCCTTGTTCTCACACGGAATATACACACGAGTCACATTTTACTAATCTCTCTCTCTCGACGTACGTGTAACGCCGTTTAATAACGACGTACTTCGACTTATCAGTAAAAAAAGAACCTCTACTTCCACTTTTTATATCTTTTACCTTAACAAAAACATCTAGATTTTATCTATGACCTTCAAACACTGTGTGTGAACTCGATTTGATTTTTAACTTCCACAAGGTAAATAACACACCGCAAATACTCGAGGACTAAGCCATTGAACACTTGATTTTCTACTCTATGCATCTTAATTTCTTGATGACATTTTTTTGTGGATTTCTTAATTGTTTACTCAAATCTTTTTTCTCCTGAGGGATTTTTCGTATTAAAGCACAACATCATATAAGTTTATCCTCGTAAATTCGTAATCATAATTTTTATTGTAAAGCGACATTACTGCAGTACTATATCAGACCAATCTTAATTTTGCACATATTCTCTTATTAGAGTCTAAGAGTTAAGGAACAACATGAGATAAATAGCCTTGCTCGACAAATGAGGCAATGCAGTCATCGAACATCTCTTCTAACGACTTGAACTTGAGCCCGAGACTCTTTATCTTCCAAGTGTCAAAGTCGTAATGCAACCTATTTAGTTTCTCAAACCTGAAAATTTTCAAAAGACAAGATTGGATTGGATTTTTTTTTTTCAATGAGAAAAATGTTAATTGATCAGTGTCAAACCTCTTGGGGATATATGGGAGTGATGGGTAACGAGCAGATAGGAAGGAAACTAGTTCTTCTAGACTGATAACGTTAGAGCTGCAAAGGTATCTGCCTTGAGCTGCTTCGTGCTCGAAAACGAGTATGTGAGTTCTTGCCACATCATCGATATGAACATAACCCATCTGTCCATGCCATTGAAACCTGTCTGTTTCTCCTGTTGTGTTTAATGACATATTATAACAGATGAAAAAGTTACGATAGGTAAGAACTATTCCAGTGATGAGTCTGTACCTTTAAGCAATCCGAGGACATCGGATGCTGTAGAACACAGATCAGGAGGCAGACTAGGTCCCACGAGAAAGGATGGTAGAACAGTGACAAGGTCAATACCATTTTCTTCACAGAATTTCCATGCAGCTTGCTCAGCTAATGTCTTTGATAAAGGATACCAGATCTTTTTAAGCCATGTCGCATCGAGATGCATTTACACAAACTGTTGTTAGCTAAGCTAATATGATTTCTGTGTTGAGTCAGCAAACATAGCTCTTTAAAATGATTATACCTGGAAACGCTTGCAGAGTTCAACAGAGGTCCAAACTGATTCGTCAAGAGGGATTTTGGGATCAAAATCATCTCTGATCCTGACCGTTGAAGAGGACGAGGTGAGAACCACGCGCTTCAGGGACTGATTCTTCCGGCAAGATCTCAGTACATTCAGTGTGCCCTCTATGGCTGGTTTCAAAATCTCCTCCTATCAGATCATAAGAAAGAAAAAAAGTCTTAGAGAATAGTAAAAGCATATTGTGACCAGAAAAAATGGTGTAGTTGCATGCCTCTGGATTAGAGGTAGGTTTAAGCACAGGAGAAGCGGTATGGAAAACTCCTTGGCATCCCATTATGGCGTTATCAAAACTTCCTTCTTCGATTAAATCGGCCTTCACCAACCGGAGTCTCTCCTTTGCCCCTTCCAACTTCCAAAGGTGCGCGAGTTTCTTCTCATTTCCTGTCAAAAGAGGAAACGTAAATGAGTCTCACTTGTTACGATTTCAAAGTAACCAGAACAAAGCAAGACAAGGAAACAACAAGGATAGGAAAACCTGGATCTCTGACTGTTCCGATAACTTCATATCCCTCAAGGAGAAGCCTCTTCACAAGCCAAGAAGCTAAGAAGCCTGAAGCTCCGGTTACACAAACTTTTCCTTTTGCTTTTGCTTTATCCATTCTCAGGTAACGATGGAATCACACCCGAGTAGTTATATAGCATGTGTATCCATGCATGTTAAGAGGGTACTAGCTATACGGTGCAGGAGGTAAGTATAGATTAGGTAGGTCATACAAACCATGTGGGTTGCTTCTTCAATACCTAACATGGTTTTAGGAGGGTTGTTCAACCAACACAATGGCCTGACTACTATTTTCTCTAGGGATTTGCTTCAAGAAAAATCTCCACATAATTAGACGACAATGTTCCAGTGTTCTTCAGTATACAAAATAGTGAAAAAGGAATTGTTGACACTGCCATAGTCTTCAAGTAGTCAAAACTTTCTCAATATGATATAAACTAAAAAAGCAATTTACAAAATAGACAATACTGAGTAAGGTACAGTAACAATCTGTACATACTAAGATGGAAATGGTAACGAATCACCTGAGCACAGTGACTTTGGTCTCAGAAAAACTTCTGAAGAATTTCTCAGTACCCAAGTTCCATGTTTCTATTCCCTTTCGATTGCTCAATCAACAGATGGAGAAGACACCAGCCAACTCTTTCTCCCAAATCTCCTAATACAAGAAACGAAAAATAGTCCTCGGGTCTCAAAGAAGAAAAAGATTGAAATCATCCTGGTCAGCTCAAGAATAGATACAAAGCAAGGCCGTTTACGGACGGAGAATTGATTCGTCGAGGAACATTCTGGTTGCTAGAGCTCTGCCAGATCAAGCAGAGAAAAAAAATTAGAAAAACCAGTATCATTTCCACTGCAGCATCTACACAAGGCAAAAGCAATAATGCATAAAAAAGTTCTCAAATGAACCGGGGAAACTTTTTCACTGGGTCAATAGGTTTCGTATTAACTCTAGATATAGTTGACTGTACTAAGAACAAAGAATCTAGCAAACCGGACTTTGCTACTTATTACTTTCCTTTGATGAGCAAATAAAAAGTCGCAAGTAAAATTAATTTCACTAGTTTAACTTCAACTACATCCCATATGGGAAACTTGGCAGTTAAAGTTACAGAAACGCACTACTCTCCACACATATTCTTGCCATACGGAAGATTCAGTTAGGTCGATACATTAAAAAAATTCCATATGAAGAGATTAAACTGAGGGAAGACAGATGCAGGCATACCTGCGTGTTACAGTGATACATTCTCTATCTAGGACCCCAACAAGGTGTATTCTGCGAGCATCAATGCCGCCTGAAACGACTGGAACATGAGAAATTTCATGCTTGTTCATGATTGTTTGGACAGCGAGAAGATCCATATCAGGTGTAACAGTCCACGGCACTTTACATCCTCCTCCGGTCTTCGAACAGATTTCACTGACAAAAATATCCTAAACCAAAGAAATGATTCAATTAGTTGATCAGGTTACCAGTAGATAGAATATGGCAAAAATAGATTATTCAAATTACCTTGGGTCTTTTGTTTCCTTCTTTTCTTGCTTTGCTGAATTCCTGAATGTCTGAAAGTGTAAGTAGACCGAGAAAGATATTGTCAGGATCAACAATCAACGCACAGGATTGTTTCTCTTTCAGCATACGAGTTATTGCCTCTTCCAGGGAAGTGCTCATCATAACTGCTGCATATCTTGTTCGCATGGCTTCTGAAACAAAAATACTCTTCGGCAGCTCCTCAGCTTGGATGGTTGAATCATCAATGCAAAGAGAACTTTCAACTTCACAAAGGTTATTCGTTGATGATCTGTCATCAGATGACGTCAGATGCTGTACAGCTTCTTGGCTCTTTCTTTTCCTACTTTCTTTTGTTTCTTTAGTTTCTTGTCTCTTTGATTGTCTAGATGTGATCCATGAAGACATGCCTACAGCTCCCAATAGGGGTAAGACTATACGATAGTCTTGAGTAAGCTCAAATAGCAAAAGTACCGATGTAAGAGGAACTTGACAAACCCCTGCAAGTGTAGCAGCCATTCCAACCTGCAAAACAATGAGACCGAACAGAATCATTGGCAATGAAGCTTCAACAATTTAGCGTTCATTTCTCAATTAACCGAATATAGTGATATTCGTTTTGTCTCTATTGGAAATTTTTGGAAGGTAAACAATCAAGAGACTCTGAAATGAAGAGAATTATTTGAATTTGAAAGATTGACAACATGAGAACAGTACCAGACCATAAGCTTGTGGCGATGCCACTTCAAGGATTGAGAGATGGAGTTCGGGATTCTGATCCAAAGCAAGTCCAATAAACTTTCCATAGGCCATTCCTGCTGCCCCGCCAATAAAGAGAGAAGGGTGATAGTATCCACCGACCAGTCCAGAAGCCCGACACAATGCGGTTGCAGCTATCTTGACCGCTACCAATTGAAGCAAAAGATCAGCTGAAAGACCCTTCACAAATGGACGAGATTCCAACAAAATATCCACGTTCTGAAAACCCCAGTATAAGACTTCAGGGTATACCAAAGCTATGATACCAACAGTTAAACCACCCATTACAGGAAATACAGCCTTTGGTATCCCAGCATCCTTGTTAAGACTGTCAACAGCAGATGCCATCAATGATGTACATCGAGATAACGCCAATGAGACCAAGCCACACAGAGCGCCCAGTAAAAGATAGAGTGGAAGTTCTGCAAGCAAGCGAACAGCTCTCGTAAGTTTGGCTTCCGGTTCTGTCAAAAGCTCTTCAGAATTTTCCAACAAGAAAGCAAAAAAGGAGAAAATTGCGAGCATAAGAATGGTGATGTACATTACATTACCTCCAGGAGAGCGAAAGTCATAGTCTGGAATCTTAAACGCAGGTTCAGAGCCCAAGCCGATTTCTGACACCACTGAAGCAGTAACCGCACTAAGAATAACCATTGAAGTTGTATTTGGAAGTGATGTTGATGAATCACTTGATGAAGGCCACAAAACGGATTCAACAGCAAAGAAGCATCCAGCAACAGCTGCATTGAACCCTGTAACGAAACAAAACCAACTTACTTTACATTAAACAATAAAATCACTAGAACATCATAACAGAAATACAAACTATATCTGAATATGTACAACAAGAATCATCCAAAATGGTAGTATAGTACTCAAAACACATTCATTCTCCACGCAACAAAACAAGCAAGAAACCAACAAAATTGCAAATAGCAGATGGTATTCGAGTTGAAGATGAACAAACCAGAGGAAATTCCAGAGGCTGAGCCAGCAGCAAGAAGTGAGAACCCAGTCTGAGGACTTTTCTTGAACAGAGAATTCACTCCTTTAGCTATTGACGCTCCAATTTCAACACTAGGACCTTCAGGACCCAACGAATTCCCAGTCCCAAGCGTCACACATGCAGCAACAGTCTTAAGGAAAGGACGCAGCACCGCCTTTAATCGATCGAGACTAGAATCATCTGTACCGGAATCCGCGTCGGAATATCCGGCAGCTTCTCGAATCTGATTCAGGATACTGACAATCAAACCGCCGAAAGTCGGAACAAGGATCACTCTCAACCAATTGGAACCAATCGGTTCTTCTCTAAGCCACGAAGCTCCACGATCAGAAATCCCATCCCAAGAGAAGTCTCGAAGCAAGTGAACGCAATTGTTGAAGAGAACCACACTGATTCCGGTGAGAACACCAACCAAACACGCCGAAGCTATCGCAAGCTCCTGAGACGGAGGCTCATCGAATCCAACCTCATCCTGATCAACCTGTTGCTTCGCCGCCGGAGAAAACGGGAAAACTCTGCCGCCGATAGCGACGGAATCGAACAGTCCATGCAATGTAAACGAGGACGGTGAGGAAAACGGTGCAGCGACGACATTGAAATGAAAAGGAGCGTTGCGAATCGGAGAGAATCTCCGGGAAGAGATTGGAGATCGGAGAGCAGCGGAGAGTGGAGGCGTGGCTGCCATGAACGGCTGCTTCCGAGAAGTGACGCGTGTTTATCCATTAACGGATACAATTGGATTCTTAAACGTAACTGAAACAAAAATCCATAAGTCTGACGTGGCTCATTACGGTTTGCTTATTTATTCCGGTTCACATTCGAACCCGTGGGCTTGAGCCTAGAAGTAAACCGGAAATGTTTCTTCATTTTTGGGGATTGGAGAGAATCTTGTCAAATTAAACACAAGAAATATTTGATTGGTTTCAGAAGTCGGTTTTGTTGTTTCTCCATTTTTCTGGATTGGAGAAAACTTCGTTCAACTAAACCGAACAAATAATTGGTTTGGTTCATAAGTCTGACGTGGCTCATTACGGTAACTTATTTATTCCGGTTCACGGTCGAACCCGTGGGTTTGGGCCTAGAAGTAAACCGGATCACTGTATTAATTTTGGTTTACGGTTTGCTTATACTATAAAAAAGATTATTTGATACTTTGATTGGTTTAATAGAAACGTATAAATGTGGATTATCGCTAATCTCGTGCTAGGCCCAAAAACTATACATTTTATTTTATTTTATTTTTTAAAGATAAAAAACTCTTCGGCCTTTAGGTTCAAATTTCGATGGAAGCTGTGGCTCTTGTGCCTCGCCCAACCCAATCCTGAATAAA